CTCCTTAATGATTTACTATGTTTGGATTTTACTATGTTTGGAGTAAAAAGAATGTTACTATGTACGTTTATGTTTATTATATGTGTATTAATCTATGTTTCGACGAAAATAGAATGTATTATTGAGATACGTATAATTTTGCTAGACTAGATTGGCCGCGTAGTACTGACACACGTATGTGAATATGAGTGTGTGGAAGTAAGCGTGTGCGCGGAATTTGGAAAAACAGATGAATGCAACTGTTCTGTCTGGTATGGAAGATGGTGAGACAAAGAAAGTGCTGAGATGCGTGCAAATATATATCGACGAAGATCCTGGAAATCGTTTATTAAATAAATCTAAAACTATTTTAATATAAATTCTAAGTGTAACCTTAGTGTTCCTTTACTTTTATTTCGGCAATTAAGATCCACAATTCTCAACATATATAGAAATTGATACGTAAAAAATTAGGAAAATAACGAACGTGGGAAACTATATGTAAAGCTTACGCGCTGATTTTTCAACGGAAAGGCAATTTTCGCTGCTCGCGAATGATGCGGCGTGTAGACAATTCCTCGGAAGTTAGTCGATAATTCTATCTTGCCACGCGGCATAAATCTATGCTAGTTTCCCGTGCAAGTTAGCGAAGTTTCCAATTTGTATTGTATAACGTTCCTGCGTAGCGGAGCAACAAGTTTTAATCGCCATCTAACACGTCCTCGCGCGAACTGCGAGCTTCGTAACATCGAAATTTCACGGACGTGGATCGCGAAACGAAGAACGTGGAAAGCGAAGAATCGTGAAACACTCCTCGGCGAAGGCTAGTTGGATATGAATTTCTGAAAGTGATATATCCCATTCCTTTGGAGAATCACGTAGAAGGATTCTTCGCAGTCGGGGGCCAAGACGAGAGATTCTATATTCGAGAAACTTTTTCGATTTATCATCGAGTGCTTGCCGTGCCGCTCGTATTGCCAGGGAAACGTCTCGGGTACACGGTAACTTCGGCAAGCAAATAGATTCCTCGACGTGGAAGGATTAAAAGTTCGACGAATAACGTTGCCCTTCTGTTCGATGACGATTGCTAGGCTTTTAGCGAAACATCCAAGAACACACGCTCGACAAATAATTTTCTAGCAGCGAAAAATACCTGATGATGTTGGCGCAAATTCCGCGAGCGATAGTTTGTCAACACTTCGCGAATGCAAAATCTTCTAACACTTAGACCGGGTTGGTAAAATCTGCCATAACTGTTGCAACGTAATATATTTGCAAGTCGGAGTTTCAAAGTTTGCCCTTTTCGTTGGTTCATTGATCAGATCTGTCATAAATATACGAGAATCGGTAATTATGCGTCCGTGTATTATAATAATTTCCATTTTGCAAATATTTGCCTGATACATTTCGCGTTTTCATACTGTTTTAATTAGCTCCACGCGGTTCGAAATATTAATGGCCCAATTGTTACATGAAGCAACGCAATATCCGGCACCTATTCATTTAATTATTTGTAATTCATTCAATGGCGAATTTACGTCATTGTGTTATAAGTTGTTTTTTTTTTATACGAATCCAACTATCGAAGAACAAAGCTTCAGTTATATAACTAGGTTAATTTATGCGCAAGTAAATACTATTTATCAATGTAATTACGACCAGGTATGATTTAAATTAGACTCTATTGTTCGTCAGACAGTCCTATCGATCTTTTTGTCTTTTAAAGCATTCGCGCTTTAAACTCGGCTCGACGAAACTTTGAATATTAAACAACAAGGGGGGTATAAACGCAAAAAGACAAATCATAACAAACCCATTAATGTACAAAAATGGCTTTCAGTAATCTTCCAAAGGACTCGCTCTTTCTCTTGAAAATTATTCAACAGCTCGCGGGACGTTGTCCTGTTTCGATCCAACAAACACTCTTTGGCAGCTACATATAAGGAGGATTCATACTCGTGTTAATCCTGCAGGGATTCGCACGTTGTAGAGTTTAGCTGATTAACTGCTAACTTTTCCTTTCTTTTTGGTAACAGGATTTATTTCACAGAGAGTACAGAAGCGAACGGTAGAAATTGAACTTCGACCTCGGACCACGGTCCGTTCGACATTACATTAAAACGTTCTCCGCTTGTTCCGTTAATTGCGTCCCGGGGCGTCGTCAATTAATAGAATGAAACGAAGCGGGACCACGTGCATGCCCAGCTGCGAGAAAATGAATTGGTGGCAAATTAAATGATACAAAAGGGAAAAGAAGCAGGCACAAGCGAGCTAGACAGTTGCGCAAAGCGGTATCCCGTGGGAAATTATAAATAGAAGGTATAATACTGAGACCAGCGCGCAGTCTGACATTGCGGTACCTAATACAAATAGTTAAACCAGCCGACCAATTTATTTGAATTATCATGCAGCTTTTACGAACCGCTACATCGTATCTATAATTGTCTGTCGTTATCGGACCTGACTCTCGATATCTAAATTTCGAAAGTTACATGAAGTTCGATAGAAAACCAACGACTTCTCCAACTATTAGGTTTCTCGTGTTACGATAAGGAGAGATCAACTATTAAAACGCGGAAACGCCGTTGGCGAAACGAAGAGCGGAACGTACTGCGAAGAAAACAATTACTGGCTGGCTATGGAAAAGGTGTAGACTATGTAGGAACGAGTACGAAATCGAGGCGGATCCTATCTCGACGAAAGAAAGATGAGATTCTTAAAGGAAAAAGGAATAAAACCGTAAACAACGTGGTAAAATCTTGCGGTACATGAAAGAAGGAGGATAGTGCTCAGCCGTTCTTTCTCCTGGTACAGCGATGGAAGACGAAACGTGCTTTTAAACTGAGGCACTGAACAGGGCAAAAAGAAAAGGAACATCGGTACGAAAAGGGTGTGAAAAGGGAAAACGGGACACGTTCTACACGCGCAAGGATCAGATTTACGTGGCCAACAGGAGAAGATATACACTTTTGGCGCGACTTTTGCAGCAAGAGATCAGTCACAGAAACGCTTTGCCCGAAGAATTTCTCGAGATTCTCTAAAAAGCCCTATGACGGTGTCGCGTTTCAAATTTCAAGATAAACCGGTCGAAGCGCGAGCTGATAAGTGGCGTCGTCGGTTAAAGAGGAAAACGTGAATCAGTCGAGGGGTACTTCACCGTCGAAACCGCTGCAGACACTCTAACATTTTCCTTGATCTCTTTGCCGCGAGCACGCTCCAAAATTCTTAACTGCATACTTTAAAGAAATTAAACACCTTTTAATCGAAGCTGCAAATCCGTCGAATCTGTCCAATATAAAATAGTTGTAGTTACGTTGCCGCTAAATTTAGAACTCTTTGTTGATATATATTGTAGGACTTCGAATCGAGAGAGAAGAATCTTTCAAGAGCATGGAATGTTCAACGTTGAATATTCCGTGACAGTGACAGAGACAAAGACTTCTGAAACAGCGGCGATCTTTTCGAGCGACGCGACGTACGAAAGTTCTGTTTTCATATTTCTGCATATCGATGCTGTCAAAGAACAACATACATCCAATGTTACGTTCCATAATGGACAAACGTACACTGAGCAAATTCCAACGGGACCGAGCTATACATTTTTCCTTGAAGTACAAAAATAAACAAAGAAACGTCTGGTTTCGCTAGTATCTCGTGCGCTAATATTTGTTAATGAAATTTGCGAGTTCCATAGAACAGGCAGCAAGATTACGTAATAGACGTGGCGACGATTCTACGACATTTTGCGTGAAAGGAGTACGTCCATAAATGATGCAAATTAACGGACTGTCCGCGAAAGAGAATGACATGGGTGTGGTTGATTAAATTGTACTAGACACGGACGTAGGAAAGTAATTCTTATTCTTTGCTGCGGAGGATTTTTATCATTATACACTCCATTATCGTACTAAAATTATTTATAAAAGAATATACAGAGTTTATAAGAGTAGACAATGGAGAAGTAAATAGGTTAAAACTAAGAATAAACAAATTACAAATCTACAGCACGAAATTCCTTAAATTAAGAACTTGTAATGTCATAAATCTCGAAACAATATTCCTGTGAAACGGATCCTTTTGTGAATTATTGTGCTTGTCGTATGCACTCGCTGCTTAACGAGAAAATAGGAAAACTCGTACCATTTGAAATTCATATGCTTGGAACGTTTACACAATAGCTTCCGGTAAGGGAAAGATATTTCAAAAACTTTTATGAAAATCTTTCATACCCCGCTATAAAACATCGGGACTAAAGAACGTGTTTACGTTGATTTTGTTCTCTTTTCGCGCCAGAGACTCGAATCGTTTCGTCGTAGGTTATTCAACGATTTCGCAATTTTATCAGTGGAGAATAAATTCGAGAATTACGGCGTTCGTTGCGATAGTGGCCTTTCGAGAAAGTCGCACAACTCCATGACAAATTCAGTTACGTATGGAACGGAATTCGGCTGCGTTTGTGCGTCCGTCGATGTCAAACCCAGATCGCGCACTGCGTTGATAGCAACTAGGAAAACGAGGGAAAAAAATAAACATAGTCGAAACAGCGAAATCGATTGCACCGCGTTTTTTTTCCGCGAACCGAATTTACAAGTTTCGTCTTTGTCGAGAGCGTAGTCTCTTGACTAGATCGGCCTAAACTAGTTTCTGGCCGATTATTTTGTTTTTTTCTCCGTTTTTTTTTGTCTCTTCGTTCCTTTATATTCCACATGGCAAGCCCGTGGTGAATAAAATTTCGCGAATACAATTTTCAACATATTACGGAAAAACGCATTAACGTAAAGAAAGAGAACGTACATTTAACGAATACCAAACATCCTTAGCCGATTATAAGATCGTTGAATTTCTCGACGTTCAGTTGCTGCAGCGGTTCGTCGAGCGAAACATATATTTCGAGATTTCCGTTGGCTGAAACATTTCGCCGAGAAGAGAATATTCTAGTACTATACAAGGCTTATAATAACTAAAATATCATTAGAAAATGGCATCTATTAACAAGCTTCTCTTGACCATTAATGTTTCAGTCACTGGGACGGCCGCGGAAGCCACACGCGAGGCGGAGGAGTCACTGTGGAATACGTACGACGCGAGAAGGAGCGGCCGAACCTTTGCCTCGTCCTTCAGTATGGAACGTACCACCGGAGAAACCAAATCTATCGGAAAGTTTCACCAGACAACTTCCTGGCACGCGGACAGCTCGAGTTCCCGGGAACGAGTCACGCTGGACTCGTTAAAACCGACCAGCGAGAGCCTGGACGAGGACGAAGAGGAGGAAGAGAAGATCGAAATGAACAGGAATATCGAAGCGACGTATAGGACGGGAAAGAATGACACGGGAAAAGTGAAAATCTCGAACGAAAACGCGACCGTGTTTTCGAGGAGTATGAATGACACAAGGCAGAAAATAAATCTATCTACTTCACGGACGTTTATCCAATCAACGCCAGAACGATGGAGCTTTAACGCGAACATCATTTCCCCGGCAAGTTTTGACAACGTAAGTCGTATCATGTTTCTGCTGTTAACCTTACGTCTCCTCGATTATCGCTGCTATGTAACTTGCACGACTAGAGGAAGAACGAAACGATCTGGTTTCACTGTTCGTTGCCGCTATAAGGCAATTGAAAACGAAGGGACTAATGAAATCTCGAGCGATAAAAGAATTAAACGCGAAATAATATACATTATTTTAACGTAATAACGGTAGATATATATTTTCCGCGTGGCCAATGATTTTACAGCAGGTCGATAACTATAATTTAACGTTATCACGATACCAGTTACCCAAAGCATCGTTACGCCGTTATATAATTAACGACCTGACACCTGAGGATTAGAGGATTATTGCTTATCGATCGTGTAAATTTTCAATCCTGCCAGACTTAAACTAACGTTAGCTTTAAAATTGAACCGTACCAGGTGTAATAGCCAAGAAAAAGTTCCATACACCTCGTGTAAACTATCACGTAACTTTCAAATATGTGTAGATAGTGGCGACGCAGAAAGCCAAGTTATTCGACTCCTGGAAAAATCGGAGGAATGTCAGCACAACGCCGACTCCGTTCGTTGTAAACGATGTTATACGTCGTCAAATGAGGCACGTTACAGAAAAGAACGCGTGCGAGAAATTCACTATCGGTGACGACACTAAACAAGAATTTTACAGTCCGAGGTATCCAGAAAACTATCCAAACCTCACGGAGTGCGTGAAAGTCCTAGAAGGTGAGTAAAAGTTTTTCTCTTCCTCGTTTAGGTCGTTTCGAAAGATAAAAGACTACTCTTTGCGAAAGCGTTTTGATATTGTTCCATATTCGAAACACGAAATGCCACGAGCATGGTATATTACATCAAACAGAGTAAATTTATTATAGCAGCGAATTTCCACTTATCTCGATAACTCGTGGAATTAACTAGACGCTAACTGTGCACGTCGGAGTTCGAGTTTGATATTCCACTCGTTTCATATGTATAAGTTCGTCGTAGCCTGCTGGCTACGGCACCGACCAAACTTCGAAAAGGGGCGAACGACTAACACGCGCGACGCCGTGATTGATACACTCTGGTGGTTTCGTTGGTCCGACGAGGAGATACTGTCCGATGCCGACAGTAAATTTCTCTGCCGCTCGTCGATACAATGCATTCGTGCACGTCGGCGAGTCGAAAGAAGCGCATCAATTTTTCCCTTCTCGCTGTCCGCTCGGATGTCGAATAAACAGTGGCAAGCATCGAATTTATAATAAACGGGCCACAGGGAAAACTAGCACGGAGAATTAATAGCGTCGGCAAACTGCGGTGTTTCGTCGCGACCGATCGCTCGTAAAGGAAACGCATTACGATTCGCGACGAGCAAACAACTGATTCCACGCTACTTTTACCACCGTGAATTCAACGCGAAACTACATCCTTCTTGCATCCTTGACGTATCAACCGACCCGGGAAGAGTAATTGCGTAAAACGGTCTGGCGAATGCGAGTCGAAATAATAAATCATGCCTGGCTCCAAGTTTTGATAACGAATCGATAAATCATGGACGAGGCGACTGGAAATCCATTCTCGCGAGGAACGCGAGAAACGTTTCCCGAACAATCGTGTAAAAACTTGATTCCATAAAAATGATGAAGATATTCATTACCTTTTATCGGTATCCCTTTTCACGGTTTCTGGAAGTTCCTGAAGAATACTGTCTGGGCAACGAACGTAATTACGTGCATTTATGGTTCCATTTGCGTCAAATATACGAACCGTGACGCGAGATACCCGTAACTCTTTCGTCCTTTCGTTCCAGGGTTAGGGTGAGTAAACGAAGAGAAAGAGGTAGTAAAAGGCACGAGCCATTCGAGGAACGCTCGTTCCTTTTAGATGATCCAAACGCCTCGAAACGCGTCGGATTGAGCAAACGAGGGCAGCTGGGTCGTGTTGGAAATTGAGTCAGGGTCGACGAGCCTCAGACTGTGGACGCGCCGAATCTTCTTCTGACGTACCAAAATAGTATCCACCGCGATCGCTGGTCCTCGGCCGAGTTTTGGAAACGATAGGTTCGACAGTAGTCGCATCTGTTTTCTTTGTGTAAAAACCGTAAAATTTCCGGTTGGAAGCCGGTTTTCCAAATAAAAATAAATATCAGAAGGCAACGTTGTAAATCATTTATGAGCGTAGCTTGCAGACCGGTGAATAAATTCAGATTGAACCGCTTGTAAATCACACACAACCGGATGTCGATACGAACCGATGTGCCTTATTTCCTTTCTGGGCGTCTAACGTGCGCTACGCTATTGGCTCGGATTTACATGTGAGGGCGGATCGTCATGGATTACGAATAGCTGCGGTACGTAGCGAGTTTAAACCGTTACAACGTGCGCTGAATACGTTTAAGAATGTATTTTCTCTGATAATATTCTTTCCACGGTTTATCCTGACCGGCTGATAAGAGAGAGCTGCTGCAATTGCTTGTCGACTGATAAGAAAGTATAATCTTCGTTTAAAATAACCTGTTTAAAGCTTCGTACGAACGAAATTATATCGTAGATGCTGGAAGGAAACGAGAATCAATACGAGAACGTTAGCTTAAACGATCCTTGCAGCACGATGTGATTAGATGATTTGGAAACACCGATTATCCTATGGTTAGGAGCTATTTACGATTGAAATCATTTAATCGAAAGATTTTTGAATAGATATGTGCGAAGGAAATTATTTCTAAAATAACATCAAGGATCGTTTTCGTAAATATGGAATTCAATTTTTCTAGTTATTTACACTCACGAACCGATTAGTGACGAACAACATACTATAACTAGCATCATTAAAGGGACCAATATGTTGATGCATCGCAACCTCTATTACATTGATCGAAGTGATTACGACATATTAAGCACCCTATGTAAATTACGACATCCAATTATCCTAAACATCAATACGGAACTGGCAGGGATTAAGGAAGTTTCGGCGTAAATTGACGCAATTCACTCTCCGTTAAATCGTTTGAAATTGTATAAATTGCGCAACAACAGTGCTATTAAGTTGCACCGTGGCGCATTTAGTTACCATCGTTTCAAAACTCAACAGCGCAATCGTTGTTATTTCAAGTGCTGTTCTTAGTTTGCCGCCTTCGTTTCCTTCCTATGATTTCTTACGTGTCTAGGTGAACTCGTTAAACTCGACGAAAGCCTAGTTCTCGACACACGACGACGAATCGTCGAAACTTTTGGAGGATCATCGAGCGAAACAAAGGTCAATGTTTCAATCACGTTTCGGCCGGTATGTCCCGGCGACAGGCCAGACACGATCAAAGTTTAATTGGAACAATTCGAACTTCTCTCTACTGTCGCGACGCTCAAAGACGAACCGCTCGAAGCGAGGGCAGATCTATGTGCGCGCGCGTTCGAGTCCAACTGCAATTGCGAATTGATGGACGATCGAGCGCAAAGACTACTTGATTGTGTGCTCGATGTAGCACAGATAACGGGTAGTTTAGATCGAAATTGGTATTCCGTATGCATTCGCGATGCAGCTTCAGATTCGTACGAATCCTATGTTGGAAAAACACGCGGACCGCAAAGGCTAATGCAACCTAAATGTATGGTGCGATTACTGAAAGGACACGATAAATCCGTCAACGTGATCAGTTCGTTCCCATTTGCTTCTTTTCCGCGACGCTGTATCGATAAGTTTAATGGATTTCTGCAATTTTTCAAAAGAATTCAAAAAAGAAGGGAAAAAGATAGATCTGGAGAATCTCGTTCGAATAAAATAACTGATCGAGAACGAAACATTCGCGGTGGAACATTCCTCGTATGTCGTGCTTGTGCGATATTGCATTCGCCACGATAACATTTTCTCGTTCTAGAAAATCGCTCGGTCGTAAACTACGGATTTTGCTGGTTTATCGGCAAGTTCCAAGAAACACTGGAAATTAGAACAATAATTGAGTCAATGAATCGACGCCGCTATATAACGCGGACACGGCTCTCGTTCGCCTTCCTTTTTAATTCTTTCTATTCTGGCTGACGCTCCTGATCGAAGAGCTCACGCAAACGGGCCAAGTAACCCTTGCGGAGAAACCGGCATCGGGAGAAGGTCCTAATTGCACGGATGAAACCTTTTTAATTGCTCGCTCGTGAACACGATAACGCGGTTACATCGGTATCATTATGAAATGTGGGACACCTTTAAGCAGTTGGAGCCACTCAGGCACGTTAATGAGATCACAGTTGGTTGGAGACTGAATAAGCATTCGCCGGATGAAACGCGATCGAACCTCTTCCGTTTTGTGGAATAACGAAGAAATGGGGCTCGAAGAACAGCAGTTCGTTAAACGGGTACGCTTGATCTCCCTTGAAGAACCGTGCGGTAACCTGACCAAACGACACAACTTCTTTTCTAATTACGAACGAATAATCAAACTCTCTCTCTTTGCGATCGTCGCCATCGTCAAATCGGTGGAATTCACCGATAATACAGCTTATAAATTATTAGCGTAATCCGTGACATAGTCATCCATGCGAAGGACAACCGGTTCTAAGCTCGAGGAACATGTGACGCCGCTTATCGATCCCATTTACGGGCGTCGGTCGACTTCCAATGTCGAGTAAAGAAGATCGACCTTCGAAAGTGGATAACGAGGACACCATGTTTCGCGAACGATAACCAAAGAAAGCGGAAATCTGGCGAAACGCGAAAAGTTGCGAATGACACTTGGACGAACGCGACCACGATCACGACACGAGACTCGATCATACTCCATTTTTCGCAGACATCACCGCTACTTGATACTTCGTTACCAGTTCGTTCTCCCTGTCTCGTTACCTGTAACCACCAACCAATTTAGCAGCAGTGTAGGCAAGCGCAATTTAAAGCGCGTCGACGAGCGTACCACGGCTTTCTTACCTCTGCCAAGTTTCGCGTTTCACGCTACGGAACACAGACTAGCGATAAAAAGTTTCCCTCTACCACGTGTGTAACATCGAGGCACGTTCGTTTGTCTCCTTTACCACTTATATCTCACCATTATTGCCAGTTTTTACGCGATCGGAATTGTGCTAAATGGTGTGAGTCAGAGACGCGATCGTGCTATTCGACAGCAAGGTTAATACTTTCGATGTTTGGACATGACCCGCGGGAGACATCGAAGGATAGAAACTGGTAAAAAAAGAAAAGAAAGGAAAAAGGTAGCAACCTAGAGCCCGAGAGAAAAAGGCTTTCTAGAATCGTCGGAGATAGAAGGAAGTCGTGGCTAAGTTCCAAAGTGGACGAGCAAATCTAGTTATCAACCACTCAGGAGGTAAGGGGCCATCAAAGAACCGTTTAATGCGACCCCACGTAAATCAAGGGCGACCGCCCTTCTGCCGTCTCCGTGTTTCGTGGAACATCGAAATACTCTAAGGCCGAGAGTCTGTGCAAGGGAAGCCATTAATTGCGGTAAGACACTGCGCTTGTCCTTGAACTAAAATGGCGCTAAAGACCACCCACAATGTGCGTTCCCATCGATCAACTTTACCGAAGAAACTGCTACCGATTACACCCCAATTGCACCGTCGAAGAAACGGCCTAACTTATGTTGAGAAAGATCAATCGAGAGTAAACCAGATTGTAGGAAAGTTAGGTGATTTATCAGTGAAAAAGGAAAGAAGAGATAACACATAATATGTTTCCACGCTAACGAACAAGTCACAACTTCCATGGGCGATAAAATGATAAAGAACCAAGACATTTTTCCACGGACA